GTTTGTATGATTTCGTCAGAGATTGCTATCACGTGCGAGCCCGTCTCTGGCCCTCAGCTGCCCGCGAAGTCGAGCAGTGCCGTCGCCTGCTGCCGCTGATGTCTGCTAACCTTCGGCTTCAGTGGTCGCCGACGGTCTTCGCTTACGACGCTTGCCTGACGGGTATGGCGACGTGCCAGACAACACTGTCATCGGATCTTGTCAAACGTATCGGGTCAGTCAGTGAGAGATGGAGATATCGCATGCCTTCGGCTATCTCGGCACGCCGGTCAGCTCTGGGAGTCCGTTCTGGAGGCTACGAGGCCTCGGAGGGGCCGTTCGACGTCTTCAGCGACATCGAGACCGTCAAGGCCCCCGGGAGCACCAGCATGGACCTCGTCAAGGACCCCTGGGAGCTCAACCCGCAGTTCACAGAGGTGCCCGTCCAGGCTCTGCAGGGCCCTCAGTGGAAGCAGGTGGTCTCGGCCAGGGTTCACGTCAAGGAGCCCATCACGATTATCGAGGGGAGGTCTTCGAACATGACATCTCGTCATATCACAAGGGCCCAGGCCTTCTTTGGTCTCCGTCATCTACGTTTCGGGTACAACCTCGGCACCGTGCTCGCGCTCGGACGTGGGCGATGCTCCTCCTATCCCCTTCTGCTGTGCTGCCGCAGAGAGGCTGCCTACTCCGTCGCCACTGCGTCGCGGTTCGAGCATCGGTGGATACCTTCGGAGCTCAACCCCTCGGATGAAGGGTCGAGGCGCTGGGATGCCAAGTCGGGAGGTATCTCGCCTGCCCCGCGCGGTGTCCGTCAAGCGCCCAGCTGCCTGCCCCAAGATCGTGCAGAAGAGCTTTTTGAAGGGCAGGCCGTTCGTTGGGGCGACGAAGGAGGAGAGGATCGCTCACCGTCTGCGGGCCTCTGGGCCGTTCGCGATGGTGGGGGAGGACGAGAGGAGCTTCCTGGAGTGGAACGCGGTGGCGCCCGAGACCCAGGCATACTACAAGGACGCCCTTCACGACCTCCAGACGTTCGTGGACCTCTTCGAGCTGCCGCTGCACACCGCTGCTCAGGTCGACCTGGCGCTGGTGAACTACGCCGACTACGCCTGGAGCATCGGGCTCGAGAGAGCCGCCGTCCTGAAAACATATGCCGCGTACATCTCGGCGCACCCCGACTTTTCCCGAAAGGGGTCGCTCCGCCTGCCGCGTTTCTGTCGGGCCCTCCAGGGCTGGAAGCGCCTGGACCCAGGCCAGACGCGCCCGCCCATGCCCTGGCAGGTGGTCGCGCTGGTCGCACTGGTGATGGCCACGCAGCTGGGGTCCCCGCACGCGGCGCTCATGGTGGTGACGATGTTCTGGGTGTACCTCAGGCCCTCCGAGGCCGTCGGCCTGCGCGAGCAGGACCTCTTCCTCCCCTCGGGCTCGTGCGCGGACTACGGCTTCAACCTGCACCCCAGAGCGAGGGGCGAGTACAGCAAGACCAGCTTGTCGGACGAGAGCTTGCTCCTCGATTCGGTCGAGGTGCCCTGGCTGGGCCCGCTGCTGGCGCGCGCGAGGTCCGGGGACCCGCAGGCGCCGCTGTTCCGTCTCACCGCCGCGCAGCTCGGGGCCCTGTGGCGCCAGTCGCTGGGGCGGGCCGAGGTGCCCACCAGGCGCGTGCCCTGCCAGCTCCGCCACGGTGGCCCAAGAGGTATCGATCCATGGGCGAGATCAAGAGGCGCGGGCGGTGGGCCAGCGACTACACGATGAAACGCTACGAGGCCCACGCGCTGGCGCAGCAGGAGCTCGCAGCGCTCCCGGTCGACGTCCGCCGCAGGGCCGAGGCGGCGCCCGCGAAGCTGCACGCCGAGCTCGACCGGCTCCTGGCGCGGCCCCAGAGGCCGCGGACGGCCACGCCGTCGGCGCGGCTGCAGGCGGCGCCCGCGCCCAGCATGCGCCGCCCCGCACCTTCTGCCAAGGTGCCGCCGCCCGCGCCCGTGCCAGGCCTTTCGTCGAGCTCATGCGCGGCTCCGCCGCCCTGGCCAAGGCCGTCCACGCCGCCGGCTGGGCTTCGGAAGGCTGGGACTACGCTGATGACCCGCGAGCCGACCTTCTTGATGAATCCCTCATCGACAGTCTGGCATTGAGGATCTCACGGGAGGAGGTCGCGGGGGTGCATGTCGGCCTGGACTGCAAAACGCGGAGCCGGGCAAGAAAGAATGATGGACGGGGTCCGCCGCCACTCAGGGACGACGCGAACTTGCACGGCCTCCCTCTGCTGGCGGCGGCGGACGCTGAGAAGGTGAGGATCGCCAATCGTCTGCTCGCTAATGTTCTGCGCCTGCTGGCTGCTGCCGTCGAGGCGGGAGTCCCCTTCTCTCTCGAGAACCCTCGCTCGTCTCGCCTCTGGCTGGTCCCCAAGCTTTTGGACATGGCCCGCGACGCCCACGCCGAGTGGGCCTCTGTTGATTATTGCCAGTATCAGGTCCCCTGGAAAAAGTCGACTACCTTTTTGCTTTTCAATTGGCTGCCAGCGCAGCCGTCCCTCCGCCCGTGTACAGGCTGTCAAAAAAAAGGTGTAGTGCAACGGGTAAGGCGCACATAACACTGAAGGGTAAAGACCCGCTCGGTGTGTTCTGGACTTCGAGGGCGTGTCCTTACCCTGCGGCGCTCTGCAAAGATCTTGCAGCGCTGGTGGTGGCCAAGGCCAAGACACTGGATGGCAGCGGGTAGGGGCTCAGAGTCTTGAATGCCGCTCGCTCAGTCCGTTCAGGTCAGCTCCATCGTGCTGCCCTGTCACCGCCTGCCGCTCGTTCTCTTGACTTGCGTCGAAGCAGCGGAGCATGCCGAAGGAAAATTGATCTTGGCACGGGTAGCAGCCTAAGCTCATGCGTTGTGCTTGCACATTAATGATCTCTTGCTGCGTTCAGTGCCGTATGTTGTACTTATGCTCAAGTTTTTTCCAGGACCCGCCAGCCGTCCCCATCTTCCACCTTCCTGGGCGTCACTTCGCCAACCCAGGGGGCTCAGAGTCTTGAGTGCCGCTCGCTCAGTCCGTTCAGGTCAGCGCCATCGTGTTGCCCTGTCACCGCCTGCCGCTCGTTCTCTTGATTTGCTTCGAAGCAGCGGAGCATGCCGAAGGAAAATTGATCTTGGCACGGGTAGCAGCCTAAGCTCATATATATATATATATATAATTATTATCCGTGTTATTGAACATTCGTTGTTTTTTTCCTCCAGAATCCGCCTGTAGGAGGACACGCCCGACCAGACCCTGGGTTACGGCCCCGTGGAGTCGCGGAGTTGATCCGCAGATGGTCTGCGCGGAGGGTTTCCATGCGACCGCGTATCTGCGGGATCGCGCCCCGGAATCCAGAACTCCCCGCGCCGTGACAGACATCACGACGGAAGGTTGTTCTCTGTTTGCGGCCTTTTTGGGGCCCTCGCCGGGCCTCGGCACCGGCCAGGAACGACTCAGGATGAAAAGCCTGGGTCAGGGAATGGGTCGAGGCCTCTGGGGGTCGACGCGTTCAATTAAAACATGACGTCGGGCGTGAATCGGTCCGGACGAAAGGTGGGATAGGGAAAGCGGGGTTCTAGAACTTAGAGTGACATCTGTGCCAGGTGCGTACCTCGATAGATTCGCACCTCAGGCGCTGGGAGGCGCTGGAGAAGTCAGCTGCTAGTGCTGAGCCAAAAACTCCCCCTTGGATAATCTCCCTCTCGTCCCAACCGAGTGAAGGATTGAGGAAGGCAGGAAAGTCTCCTTAAGTGGCGTCTGAACTGGAAAAGGCACATGCGCACGATGATGGATTGTCCCCTGTTAGCGAACATCTGGGGATAGGTGTTCAGACATGGAATGCTAGGACTGTTTCAATACAGGGCCCCTGGAAGTCCGACCTTTTACCCGGGGCCAGTTTTTGATCGCGAGCACTGTTTTTTGTCGGTCCGGCGAGGGCCGAAGGCGGCCGAGGTTCTCCCGTCGTCGGGCTCTCTTGGGAGAACTTCTGGATGCCGCTTGTGCTGTCTTTGGGGCTCTCTTCGGAGCTTGCTGGGCCGTCTCGGGTCACCTTGGGTCCATCCTGGACCGTCTTGGTGGCCATCCTGAGTACCGTCTTGGCGGCCGTCTTGCAAGCATCTGCGACCTTCTCGGGCCGTCTTGGAGGCCATCTTGGACCATCCTCCCATGGTGCTTTCCCATCATGCTTTCTGGACGACGCGAGCACGTCTGGGGTTGAGCCCGCCCCTGTGCTCTCTGGCTAGGGAATAATTTCCTGTGGAAGGTGTTTCGAAGCTTGTTGCCACACCTTGCATAATATATTGGGAAGCTGTTGAGGAAGTTGTTGGCCCCGCCTGATCGATTTCCCATCGTGTTTTTTGGACGACGCGAACATGTCTCAGGATGGGCAGAACAAGCAAACGCAAAAAATCGTCGATTCCCTGAAGAATACGGGAACATATGGGAGGTGGGGGGAAAGACGAAAGCCCAGAAAATATACAAAAATACTGGGAGTCCTGGGAATTGTGTCTACTTGACTATTTGTGTGTCGCTGGGCCCTTTAAATCGGGTTGACCCAGAAGAGGGTCCAGCGACAAGGGGTCGGTGCAATAGATTTGGTGCAATCGATATGTGGGCTTGCAATACATTTGGGGCGGGAAATGCATTCCGGGGCGCACATGTATTGCTGGACTTGCGTGTGCAGTACATTACTTGCAAAACAGTACAGTACGATTCTCTGGCGTAATGCACTCGCAGCACACTTGCCCGCCATCTCTTGCACCAACCCCTCTGTCGTTGGACCCCCTTTTGGGCTTGGAGGATTCATGTCTGGGGATGCTGGGGGGGCACATGCGAACCCTGCCCTTGCCCCCCACGATTTCTGAGGGGGAGGGTGGGGTTTACCGCGCTCGAGAGCTCCCGAACGCAGTGAACCTCCCCCTCCCCCTCAGAAATCGTGTGCGGCAAGGGCAGGGTTCGCACGTGGCCCCCTAGATGCGTCCGCCGCTCCTGGCCGCCCGCTGGCCTTGCAACGGGGCAGGTCGTGCCCGGCGCCGCGGCGGCCGCTGCTCCGCGGCGCCCGCCATTCTCGGTGCCACGCCGGCTGCAGGAGCAGCAAGGCGCCCGCCTGCCGAGCTCGGGGGGATGCCTCCTCCTCCTCCTCCTCCTCCTCCTCCTCCTCCTCCTCCCCCTCCTCCTCCTCCTCCTCCTCCTCCTCCTCCTCCTCCTCCTCCTCCTCCTCCTCCTCCTCCTCCTCCTCCTCCCCCTCCTTCCGAAATTATGTTCACGACGTGTTTTTTGTTGTGTATCCTGGAGGGGCCGCGCTAGGGATGGCTAATGACATTCAGAGGAGGAAAAAGGTACCCATACCTCTGCCCTTCCCTCGTTTTCTCCTTTTGTTGGGCCTCCTGGGCGACCCTCGTCGCCACCGCTGGATTCGCCTCGAAATTCTGGTCAGAACGCACCCCGGGAGAGGTCCGGGGAGTAGCGGTATCGGTACCTTTTGATTTCCCCATTAGGGGAGGATAGGCATGGGAGGGGATGCATCGACCCCCAATCACCCATTGATTGCCGATGGGGGCCCGATGGCCCCAACCTGCCCAGGCCGGCGCGGGCTCACGATCAGAGGCCTATCGCCGACCTATCGGCGATGTATCGCCGATGCCAGGTCGATGCATCCCCCCCCTATGCCAGTCCCCCCCGCGGCCGGATCGACGCCGGCGACGCCGACGACGACGACGCCGACGACGCCGACGACGACGACGCCAAAGTCGCCGATGACGACGACGACGACGACGCCGCCGACGACGCCGCCGACGACGACGACGACGTTGATGTTGACGTGGACGGCAACGACGACGACGACGAAGATGACGTTGACGTTGACGCTGACGTTGACGTTGATGTTTGCGACGACGACGACGACGACGACGACGACGTTGCCAACGACGACGACGACGACGCCGACGACGACGACGCCGACGATGACGACGACGACGACGGCGGCGGCGTTTTCTTATGTGAAGTGAAAGAGGTCACGGCGTTTTGTGTTTCCGCCAACTTTGGCATCCGGAGGCCCTTCGCGGGGTCTGGTGGCCGTCAGGAAACTGTTCGGGATCCACAGATACCCAGAAATGATCGCGTCAAACAAAAATTCAGGACGGAGGTTTTCACTCTTTTCCCCCCTGGGGGGCCCTCGCCGGGCCCCGGGGCCGTCAACAAAACGACTCGGGATGAAAACAGGTCCCAGGGAAAGGGTCGGGAATTCCAGGGACGCCGTCCTGAACAAATCAGGACGTCGTATGTCTGGGTATGGGGGTCGACGTTGTAAGAGCATTTGCGGCGCCGTGTTCTGAGGAGGAGGAATCACGACGACGACGACGACGATTGCGACGACGACGACGACGACGACGGCGGCGGCGACGACGACGACGACCATGGGATCTTGGCAAGTCGTGCTCAACGGGCGGCATTGCCGTGTCTTGGGCTCCTGGCGCCATCGCGGATCGGTCCTGCTCGAGACATGCCGGAGAAGGACGGACGGGGTTTGGGGGCTCGGATCGTATCGCCCATTCGCCTATCGGTGCCCCCGTACAGCTCTTTCGCTGGTGCAGCAATCTTTGCCTCGC